TAGAGACGGGATTTCACCATGTTGGTCAGGCTGGTCTCAAACTCCTGACCTCGTGATCTACCGCCTCGGCCTCCCAAAGTGCTGGGATTACAGCCGTAAGCCAGCGTGTCCGACCTAATTTTTATATTTTCTAGTAGAGATGGGGTTTCACCCTGTTGGCCAGGCTGGTGTCGAACTCCTGACCTCAGGTGATCCGCCCACCTCAGCCTCCCAAAGTGCTGGGATTACAGGCATGAGCCACTCACGCCTGGCCTTTGTTCAATTTTAAAGGGGCGAGTTCGTGGCATGTAAATTTCACTTCAAGAATGAAAAATAGGCTGGGTGCAGTGGCTCAGGCCTGTAATCCTGGCACTTTGGGAGGCTGAGATGGGCGGATCACCTGAGGTCAGGAGTTTTTAAGACCAGCCTGGCCAACAAGGTGAAACTCCGTCTCTACTAAAAATATAAAAATTAGCTGGGCATGGTAGCAGGCACCTGTAATCTCAGCTACTTGGGAGGCTGAGGCAGGAGAATTGCTTGAACCTGGGAAGCAGAGGTTGCAGTGAGCTGAGATTGCGCCATTGCACTCCAGCCTGGGCAACAAGAGTGAACCTGCATCTCAAAAACCAAAACAACAAACAAAAAAAGAATGAAAAATAGGCTGGGCGCGGTGGCTCACGCTTATAATCCAAGCACTTTGGGAGGAAGATCACCTGAGGTCAGAAGTGTTCGAGACCAGCCTGGCCAACAGGGTGAAAACCCATCTCTACTAAAAATACAAAAATAAGCTGGGCATTGTGGCAGGCGCTTGTAATCCCAGCTACTCCGGAGGCTGAGGCAGGAGAATTGCTCGAACTCAGGCGGGGCAGAGGTTGCAGTGAGCTGAGATCGCACCACTGTACTCCAGCCTGAGCAACAGTGAGACTCTGTCTCAAAAAAAAAAAAAGAAAGAAAGAAAAAAGAAAAATAATGGTACCAGTAGCTAAGAGTGGACAAGTGCTAAAGGGGTAGGGGAGGTAACAGAAGGGCTGAGGGCTGGGAGAGGAAAAGACTTGGCAGAAACAGGTAAGGTTGAGGTGGTGGAAAGGTTCGAGGGAGAGTCCCAGGCTGCAGGTAAAGGTAGTCTGGAGGAAGCTGACTTTGATTCCTTGGCCAGCAGGGGAGAAGCAGAAGGAGTGGGATTCAGGGAAGGCCCTTGCAGCCTCTGGGCTGTTTGCTTCCTCTCTGACTGGAAGGTCCTGGTGGGGGGGTAGGGCCTGCATCCTTTGAGCTGTTTCACTTTCAAAGTGGCATCACAGGTGGATGGTTCTTTTAAAAACCCTGGCACCAATGGAATGAAATGGAACACGTAGGCAGCAGGAAGATTCGCCGCCGCCCACACCAGGGAAGTGAGGCTGGCACTGGGCTACGTGTGTGCCACCTCCAGGCGGCCAGGAGACTCCCCAGGGCAGAGAGGGCCTGGCCAGCACCCATGACAGCTTCAGCACTTGCAGAGGGCAGCACCCCCTGGGGCCTGGGGTGGGGGAAGGGATTGGGTGAGCACCATGGGCTCCTTTGTCAGACCCAGGAAGGAGAAGTGGGGGCAGCTACCGGAAGTAGGGGGATGAGAAGCTCCCTCCGGAATGTATGCCCCCCTCTCCCCTCCCCTCCCCTCCCCTTTCCTTCCCTTTCCTTTTCTTTCTTTTCTGTTGTGGGAAGTCAGGGACTCCAAATGGAGGGACCTGCTGGAGCCACGGCAGAGGAACATAAATTGTGAAGATTTCATGTTAATATGGACATTTATCAGTTCCTAAATTAATAATTTTATAATTTCTTATGTCTGTCTTACTTTAATCTCTTATTCCTGTTATCTTCGTAAGCTGAGGATGTACATCACCTCAGGGCCACTATGATAATTGGGTTAACTGTACAAATTGATTGTAAAACATGTGTGTTTGAACAATATGAAATCAGTGCACCTTGAAAAAGAGCAGAATAACAGTGATTTTAGGGAACAAGGGAAGACAACCATAAGGTCTGACTGCCTGTGGGGCTGGGCAAAAAGAGCCATATTTTTCTTCTTGCAGAGAGCCTATAAACGGATGTGCAAGTCGGAGAGATATCAAATTCTTTTCCTAGCAAGGAATATTAATATTAAGACCCTGGGAAAGGAATTCATTCCTGGGGGGAGGTCCATAAACGGCCGCTCTGGGAATGTCTGTCCTATGCAGTTGAGATAAGGACTGAGATATGCCCTGGTCTCCTGTGGTACCCTCAGGCTTACTAGGGTGGGGAAAAAACTCTGCCCTGGTAAATTTGAGGTCAGATCGGTTCTCTGCTCTCAAACCCTGTTTTCTGTTGTTTAAGATGTTTTCAAGGCAATATGGGCACTGCTGAACATAGACCCTTATCAGTAATTCTGCTTTTGCCCTTTGCCTTGTGATCTTTGCT